GGGTTTAAATCCCCATTCAGGCTGGATTTATGTACTAAGGGGAGGCGGTTATAATCCTGCCTGAAGTGAGTATGTGGGTAGTCTTTCACCCCCTTCCTCAGTGATAATTACAGCAACAATTACCTGCTGTTTTTTCTTAACACATTCTCACTCCCAACTCGTCACATACGGATGCTCCACAGTCAAGACCCCTTCGCGTCACTTTTTAACGCACTTGGTACGTCATTTCTGAATGCGCAGGGCCCCGCGGTCATGTTTACAACAAAAAATATGCTATGTCCATAATAATACATATGCATTGTACGTTTACACCTAAAATTTACTGACTTCGGCTACGGCGCGTTACGGCTGCGCCGCAGTTGCCGGTGCTCTGTTGATTTATGCTACCTATCGAGATGTGCTACTTAGCGGTTCTGCGCATGCGTATGACTCACAAGTCTGTTTCCACGCCCATAAATCTGTGCAACCTTGCTGTTGGGCATGCTGTAATAATAATTTGGTAAATTTTCAAAAATAAAACACCCTGTGGAGAGAGAGATGTGGTTAATGTTGTGAAAAGGTTGCAGTTTGGTTAGGTTTAGGAAGAAATCATGGTTTGGCTTTAAATAAGTACATAAGTTAGTTACATAGCTTTCTTACGTTAGCTAGCTTGACTTTGACTATTGACACTGACAAACAAACACCGGTCTCATAAAAGTCCAGTGTTTGTTTGACCTACCTGTCCTCCCCTACCACCTGCCATCATGGACTTTGTCACTCTTTGCCACCTGACATGTACCTAACAATCGGTCGGACGATTAATCGGTCGATTATTTTTTAACATAATCGGCATCGGCCAATATCCAAGTATATCAAGCCGATTATTAGGCAGGCGCATCTGTGGGCAGCCTAGTGTTGTCGTGGAACACGTGTTTGACGCGCGCTGCCGCTAGAGTCATTTTCCAGCCGAGTGAGCGGCAGACCTCATCCAGTGCCTAAGGAGCTAACGGTAAGGATTCAATTCTTATTACTCCTTTATATTTAATTAAAAACTTTTGATATGTTACTGCCAACTTCGAGAAAAAACCTGAATAAGACACATGACATTCGGCTAATTTGGATCGTAGTTGACGTTGCATTATCACAGAAGAGTTGCTATCATGTCACAATAAGTAAGCAATAATTTTGCTATTACAGAGTGAATCTGAGACTTTTATTTGTTTTGTTTGTGTGTCTTATATTTGAGAGGGTTGTCACTCAATGCAGAGAAATAAGTAATAAAAAAGAGACCAACGCACTATAGGCTAGTGACAGACTGGCTTTGCTTTGCTAACGGGTAGCTACAGACAGACCCGGTGCTAATACGGCACTGGAACCTTAACGACCGTTATCTACCGCACCGAATATCAACGCGGATTTCTGTGCTTCAGTTCGGTGCTACTGTTATGCCAGTGCTTCTCTTGGATGCTCAGAAAACGGACGTTAGAATAACAGAAACATCGCTTTACATACCGTTAGCAGTGTTGGGAAAGTTCGCTTTCTACATGAACTAGTTCAAAGTTCAGTTCACACATTTTAAAATGAACTAGTTCAGTTCATAGTTCATGCTTCAAAAAATGAACTAGTTCATTCATAGTTCTTTTTTTCCATATGTTGCGAGCTTTTTTAAATTATTATTATTGCCACAGCCCATATACAAACACAGACAACAATTATTTTATCGACGGGCAAAGTTTGCACATAAATGTAAGATTTTTCCCATCCTCACCGACCTCCTCATAAAATCCGTTTAAATGATCGTACGCGTCCTCGACGCTCGCTGCTTTGTCGACGGCGGACGCGGCGCAACACTGCTGGCTGGTGTTGCCAGATTGGGTGTTTTTTCGCTACATATTAAGGCCTGTTTACATGCGTTTTAGCCGGGGTTTCGCCTGGAAGGCTCTATAGAAATCTGGCACCCTATTGTACGAAGTTAAACTGACAGAGAGCCGCGTTCACAGACACCAGAATGAACGCGTTCACAGTAACGTTCATCAGGCAGTAATACAGTACGTTCAGTTCACGTTCGCCCAAATTATGAACGCGTTCATTGAAAAGTATATTTGACAGTTTATTTTCTTCTTACCCGTTTTGTTTATTTAATATATTTTTTTTACATTTGTACAATTTATTTATATATGTTTTTTTACATTATACATTTTTAATTTATAAGTGCAGAATGCAGATTGTTCATTGTTCAAGTGTTCAATAAATGTTTTTGTTGATTGTAGTTTGTCTATGTTAAGTAATTATCATTTCTTTTACATTTTATCTTTCAAATAGAGGTTAAAAACCAAGCAAATATCGGCCAAATATCGGCCAAAATAAATCGGCAGCATTAATCGGCCATCGGCCGACCCGGATTTCAAAAGATCGGTATCGGCATCGGCGTGAAAAAAAACATATCGGTCGACCTCTAAAACCATGATATTAGATAGATTTTTATTTTAAACGCCTGTCCTTCTCTAAATATACTTAAGAAAGGCTCTGTTCCAAGGCTGGATCTTTAGTTATTAGCGTAGCTGGTGGTGTGTGTCAGTGGGATATTTAATGAGGCTTTGTTACTTGTGGAACAGAAACCAGAAGCTCTGGTTTCACTTTGACTTTCTGGCTAAAATCCCCTTGATGAGCAGTGGCCACTTGCTAACAATCTCATCAGTCATTAGCTCCATAAAGGAAACTCAAACATCTGTTCTGACTGGAGGAGAGGTCCACCCATCTCTTCCAGGCTCTCCAGCTCTGCCTCCCCTCCGCAGGCCGGCAGCTGCCCGAGCAAAGAGAAGTGAGCTGTCTGGAAACAAATGTGTTTCCTCTGCAGCCTTCCTCCTCAGTTAAAACCAGCAAACAGCTGAGGGCGGCGCAGCGCAGAGTCAACACTGCCTTTCTTTACTCAGTCTTCACTGGTCACGTCCCCTGCAGTGAGTGGGGCCAGTTTGTCACCTACAGATTTCAATTTGGCGCCTGTCGGCCCTCACTGGGCTAATATCCATCACCAGCTCCAAGGCTGTGTGCCACTCTGCTCACAGTTTCATCAGCGTAGAGCTGCTAACAGACAGACAAACTAAATTTAACAGGATTGCTAAATGGAGTTTTTTTAAATTAAAGATTTACATCTCCCGGATTTGCAATCTGTGGAAGGCAATTGCTGCCAGGAAAAGAACAAAAATGATAAAAGGAATAATTAGATGTGATAAAGATAAGAAGATAAAAAAAAACAAGTTTACATCTCACATTTTTCTCTTAACAGTAGTAACTCAAAATATTGACCTGATGGATGAGACAAGTTACGAACATTTAAATCCAGTACCTGCGTAGCCCCACGTCACAACGAAACGGCGTGACATGCATCGCATCGCTCAGGAGATGAAACGTGATGAATCATTTACAATTACAACGCTGAATTAAAAATCTACACTAAATTCTGCTTCAGTCAGCCATTATTGTCCAGCACAGCACTATAATAATACATTTATATAATAAACAATCACTTTTAAATGGAAGAAAATTGACTTGTATCATATTAATACACTTCAGGTCATGGTTATGTGAAACATGAGTCTTTATGCAGTCCAGGTAAACTTTTAGTGTTTTTACATCATGAATACAGTTTATTCTTGGCATTGAGAAGTATGTTTGACAAAATAATCTTATGGTCCACTTACTACTTACTTCTTTCTGTCTTTTGGACACTTCTCACAGCCTTCATCAACAAATAGATCTTGCTTGTTTGTTCTGTAGATGGTTTAGTTATTATCATGACGAGTATGATTTTTTACGTGATAACAACTGAACCATATCCACGGATTAAAGCTCCAGGGAAAAGCTAGTAAGTGGATCTTGGGTTCAAGGTTATTTTGATAAAACCTTCTTTCACAGACTCTGTAATAATACTATTCTTGAAAATAGTTAATTTATAAAACTATTATCTGGAGCTCTTTCATCCCATCATTAACCTGTAAAGCCCTACCAGACACCGCCTTATATTAAGCCTGGCGTCCATCTGCTGTGGTTGCACTCGAGAGAGCTCGGTCATTGTCTCAGCTGGAGAAGTCAGTTCGACCATATGTTACAGGCAGTCAGCTGTAGTGGTCGGTGGACCTGGCTGATGGTCGAGTCTCTGATCTCCGTTAGTGGCAGCCGGGACATTGAGGACAGAGGGTTTATTAAAGTAAAAGCACTCACACACATAAATATCATTGGCTTTCATCTTATCATTGAAACAACACTTTACTACTCCACTACTAAGGATAAAAAGGCATAATAAAATATTAATATGAAAATAAAAATGGAAACTAGGTGTTAAAAGGACATTTGGATACTATATGAAAAGTAAAAACAAATATTAATGCTAAAGTTGAAGCTACAAAACAGCATATTAAATTGAAATGTTATTTATAACAGAAAACAAAACAATAAGAACTGGGAAAGTCAACTTTAATGTGTTTTTGAAACCACTGTTTTTAAGGATAATTTGGGTAGATGCTGACACCCTTTGTTTTTAAGAGGAAACTTAAGTCTCGCTCAGTTTCGCTCTGAAATCTAATGAGAGGCGAGCTGTTGCAGGAAGTACATAGGCGCTGCTATCAAGACTTTATTTCCCAACGTTACTCCAACACAACAAACTCCTCTCTCCAACTCTGACTCACGTTTCTACCGGCAACTTCCTGCAACAATTCGCCTCTCAAGAGATTTCAGAGCGGGAATTGTCCTGAAGCGAGACTTCAGTTTCCTGTTAAAAACAGGATTCAATCATATGGATCCTTTCCATGGTGTTGTCAGACACCTGGTAAAACAGTCTGAGTGTGTCGGTGGCAAAAAGAAGCACTTTTTGTGGATGTCATTTTGACGGGCGCAAATACCCCGAAGGGATCCTTTGCAGCCACTGCACCAGGTTCTGGTTAAAGCCATCAGATACCATCAACAATGAGAGGAGATTTAGGGATAAGGGGGCACTGCTGAAAAGTTCAACATCTGAGATTGTATCGTGAAAATTCATCTTTTTAATTCATTGTGTGCTGAGTTCTCCGTATTTGGAAGATTCCTACAACGCTACATCTCGTTCAGAAAAAGGGAAGGCTGAGCGGCATCAATAATAACTACATCTCTCATATACTTTATTGTATTTGTAACTCAGCCACTGAAAATAGTAAGAAATCCATTCAAGCTAATTGCTCATTGTAGCACATTCTTCTCTTGTTCAGTGGTTTGTAATGAAAACCTTCATAGTGTATGAGTCATATAATACATTAATGTTAAGCAGCCTCATTTACTTCCATCGTGTTTAAATCAAGCACCAAATAATCTCCACCACACTTTAAAAATGCTCAGTAAGGCATGCTTATCAACAGTGTTCACTATCATAGTGATGAATCATTTACACTTACAAATAAAACACGTGTATTTCACTGTTTTAGACATTCTTTCAGTTTCAGTTCTTCGTTTACAGTTAGAGAGTTTTGTCTCACTCCTATTACATACATTTTGTTGTCAGTCAATGCTCAAAATTGACCTCTGGCTAAACCCCATCCCCAAAAAGCAATTGTCCCAAATATAGCTCAGCATCTGGTCCATAACCAGGCATGGCTCCGGTAAGAATTTGGAAGGTCATGCCTTTTTTTATCGCCTTTATAAAAAAAATAAAAATACACAAGCAAAAACACAAAGAATGAAATAAACAGTGTGTTTATCTGCTTTAACGTAAGCTGCAAAGGTTAGCATGTCTGGCTAACCAGCTAGTGTTACGGTCAACGCTAAGCGTTAGCATATCACTTGCTAACTACATTATTATGTGGGATTACAGACATCCACTGTGTGGGAGCCAGTCCAGGATGGAAGAAGGCTACATCAGAGTTTAAAATAATGTGAGCAACTCCAACCAAACTTGTTATTCAAGATTACATTTGCCGAACACATCGATTATTCCTCATCACAAAAGCCTTTTCTTTTGTGTACGTGAAACTAAATAAGTAACCTCTGTGTTATTTGTCCAAACATAGGGTTGCCACCTTCAATACAGAAAAATAAGGGACGCCTGCCGGAGCGGGGGCCACACCCCTCGGGGGCCTGGCAACGACAGGCCCGATGGCGTGCCAGTGGTGGTATATCAAAAGTTAAAACATGTTTTCAGGAGAGTATTAAGATCCACTCCATGACAATAATAAACATAGGCCAACAACGTGTGACAGTGAGTGCACAAAAAAATAGGATGTGAACTGTATGTTATTAAATTATTAAATCAAATTATCCATAACTTATTAACTACAAATAGGCTAAAACAAATGCTTTGATACAATTTGAAGACTTTTGCAAAGGATTTTCCATAAACACAATGAAAATCAGTGGATTAGAAGTAGTAGGCCTTGTGTGCAGTATTGGTGCATGTTAGGCCTACTTCCTTTTATAAATCATTTCTAATCAGAAGTACACTACTCATTCAGCACTGAGTAGCTGTTTGTCTTTTAAACTACTGCAGTAAAACTATGAACAGAAAAATCTTTCTCCTAATGAGCTCCACAGAGCACCTGTTCTTGCTGAGAAATAGCTAAAGAACTTGAGTAATTGTAAAGGGGGGTGTGAACACAGATTTTGGCTAAAATACTGTATGTGTCATTGTTTGCAGTAATACCATCCAAACAATGAAAACACACATAAATAATGTATTTATTTTTTCAGTTTTTAGTCTGCCTATTATTAATTCTATTGTATTGAATCATGTAATTCTATAGATTGTTTAAGCATAACATGTAGTTGTTTATATTCATCACATAGGCACTGTATTTTGATGATTAAATGTGCATTAAACAGCCTACAGCCTCTCTCTCTTATCTCATATTAGATTAAAAGCCTTAAAAGACTAATCATACCATTATGTCCATAATGTACATCAACTCGACTCCTTGCCATGAGACCCGCCCTTATCTGACTCCAATTGGCTCTGAATCTGATGGGATTAATCAAACCAACAATGGCAGCGAGTATGCGAGGTGGAAAAGGAGAAGTCTTCACAGAATGCAGGTGGGATGATTTGCATGGGATGCTGCATTAAAGACAACTCTGAAATACGGGACAAACCGTGTCCTGTATTGATTCAAAACGGGACGCGCTATTTAGTTCTCAAATACGGGACGATTCCATATTTTAAGGGACGGGTGGCAACCCTATCCAAGTCTGTTTTCTATAGTTAGCATCCAAACAGGTTCATATAACACATGTGTTGTATTATACTTTATAATACAGAATTTGTCCTTACATTTTTCTTTTCACACTGTAATGTAACACATCTGCAACACACAAACAATGCTGTTTCTTTATTTTCATGACTTCTGTATCAACTTGACTTCTTTAACCTGGACCCTGTTAACTTTAGCCTTAATCTTTTAGCACAATCTCACGTATGTTGACATCAAGTCCATATTTAAGACACTTTTACATGGATGTTGTTTTTAAAACAAGTCAGCCTTACCATAGCGATCAGTTCTTCCAGCTCTTCTGCTTTCTCTACATGTCCCTTAAACTTTACAAGATTTTGCTTCTCGTGTTCTGGACTTGAAGCTACATTAGCCAGCATCCATCCGCATCCTTTCCTGCCCCTGAAACATTCAGCCCGAGTGAAATACGGTGTGTTACTCTTGCAGGAATGAATGGAAATGAAGTAAGCAGTACTTGAGTTGCTCAGAGGTCCCTGACAGCTCTTCTGTCTGTTACACATTGTTCCAGCTGTCAGCCACTCACAAGCCATTTGCTTGCCAGCCACTTGTCAGGCATGTTTGGTAGTGCCCATTATTAAGTGTTAGCTGGTATTGTTTTCGCTGGTATTGTTGAGCTGAACTCAGGTCTGGGTGAGGGAACGCACACTGATCCCATCCTGTTGAGGGAGGTGGCTTTCGTCATGCCCTCGCTGCCCACAGTGGAGAGAGGGAAGCTCTCGTAGCTCTCCGCTGCCCGGTTGCCACACTGGCAGCGCTGCAGCGTCGACTTCAGCTCCCTCTGGAAGTTGCTGTTGAGGAAGCCGTACACCACGGGGTTAATGCAGGTGGAGGCCATCGCTGTTAAGTGGCAGGCGGAGAAGATGGCATCGTGCTGGCAGTCGGGCAGGACCTGGTGGTGCCAGTCAAAGAGCGTGTTGAAGACATTCAGCGGCAGCCAGCACAGAGCGAAGGCAATCACGATGGCTAACAGCATGACGTTAATCCTCTGGGCTCCCCGAGTCCTCCTGCTTCGCTCCAGCATGTCCCTGCACAACACAGCATGACGCCTATTGTCAGACAACTCACTGTGAAATACCACAGCAAGCCAGAGGCAGAATGATATAATATATAAATAGAGTCCCCACAAAGCTGTTTCTTGATATAATAACACAAACATGCTGCGACACAGTGGATGGCAAAAGCTTGTGATACGAGGGGACTTGGTTTAAGTAAGAAAATGAGAGAAGGTACAGCGGTGTGACCTGCGTCGTCTCAGGCGTAAGAAGATCCTGAGGTAGCAGAGGAGCACCAGCAGAAGTGGCAGGCAGTACTGGAAGACCAGCAGCGAGGTCGTGTAGGCAAGACGATGCTTATCTGAGGGCCACAGCTCCATGCAGATCAAATGGTCCCTAAGACAAGACAGACACACAGGTAAGGAAAGCAGAGACATCATAGATAAAAGCAGTCAAACGTCTCTTCCCTGTTCTCAGAAAGGCCACGCCCCCCTTTTGGGCTGTGAAAGTCCAAGCACCAAATTTAATAATCCTCTAAGCAATCTCTTATGGAGCATTTCTTTCATCGTTCTTTTCGAACATATTTGTAAGCAGCCAAAATCTATCGCACGCTTCATAATCTAGTTTCTTCCCTACCCATGATATCCAAAACCAATATATTTAAAAACATCTTCACTTTTTGCTACCTCTCCGGGTAGCAACTTTAACTATAACTAAGAGGCCCAGAAACAGCTGAACCAGTCAGATAATAACTTATAAATAAATAAACATTGGGCTGCACGATATATATATATATATATATATATATCGTTCCAGCATCGCCATCGCGATGTGCGCATGCGCAACAGTCACATTGCGTTCATGTGCAATGTCAAGCAAGGCAAATTATTAGAATATTTTTGCTGCTTGATACAAAAGGAAGTTTTTGCACGACTAATCTCCAAGTCTCTCTGATGTGATATAATGTACTCTGATTTTAGGGTTTAGGGATACACGGAGTTTGTTGCTAGTGAGTGACAACTAGGCTGGCAGGCTCTGCACAGCGCACCACCGATCACAATATCTTGATCAGTTTATCAAAGCAGGCGCCGCCCCCGCTATTTACAGGCAACTTGAAAATGAGTGGTGAACAGGAGAAAACAAACAAAAAAGTGGATTTGGTGCCAAAAACGAAAAGCAACTTCAATGGTTTGGAACTATTTTGGCTACAGAAAGGACGACATTGACCAAACCCAGGTACTTTGCCGCCAGTGTCTTGTAGTTGTTGCCACAACACGAGGCAACACGACTAATTTGTTCGATCACTTAAATCGGCACCACAAAGCTCAGAATGACCAGTGCAAAGCGAGAAGTGAAGGCCGTCCAAAGCAACAAAGTATTTCGGTTGCTTTTGCACCGTACGAGAAAGGTTCCAAACGGAAGAGAGAAATTACCGATGTGATAACGTTGCGCCTCGCTAAAGACATGGCTCCAATCAATACAGTAACCAAAGAGGGTTTCAAAAACATGATCCAGACGCTTGATAAGCGATATAAAATACCATCACGCACCTATTTTTCTCAAGTTGCCATTCGAGAGCTCTACGACAAATGCAAGGCACAAGTTGAAACCGAGCTGTCACGCGTGGAATATTATGCAGCTACCACAGATTTGTGTTCCAGCCGGACAACAGAGCCCTACATTAGTCTGACCGTCCACTTTATTAATGAGGACTTCCAACTCAAAAGTCGCTGTTTGCAAACGGCATTTTTCCCGGAGGATCATACAAGTGAGAACATTGCAACGGGAATGAGAGAAGCGGTGGCTGCTTGGGGACTAGATGAGAGACGTCAAGTCTGTATAACAACAGACAATGCGGCGAACATGGTAAAAGCTGCCGCCCTGAACAAGTGGACCAGGCTGCAGTGCTTTGGCCACAGATTGCATCTTGCAGTTGGTAAGTTATTTATGCACATGCTATATTCATTTTACTGTTTGACTTAACAACTTGTTCTGCATTCTAACCACAGTTTTCTAAAGTGTAGCCTAATCAGTTTGATAAATGTTAGTATTATGAGTAAATACTTTTTAAAGGCATACTAACATCTTAACTGGAGGGCACACACACACACACACACACACACACACACACACCACTAATGTGAAACCCATGAGACAAAAGTTTAATTTTTTGAAAATTCATATATCATTAAGACATGTAACAACATTCAGAAATTAGATCTTATCTTTAATTAATGCAAAACATCATTTTATAATCACTTTTAGTTCAAAATTTAATTGTGTAAATTAATTAATATGTACCTTGTTTTGTTGATGTTTTTTCCCTTAGTAAATGCAGTGAAAAAGGATGGACGCGTTGACCGTGCTGCAGGTGTCTGCAAGAAGCTGGGGGGTCACTTCTCTCACAGCTGGAAGTCCAGATGTGCTCTTGAAAAAGCCCAGAAGGAACTCAATCTACCATCACATTCCCTTGTATCAGAATGCCAAACAAGATGGGGTTCCAGGCAGATGATGATCAGCAGGATACTAGAGCAGCAGAAGGCTTTAACTCAGGTCCTCTATGCGGACAAGAAGGCGCGGCATCTAATTCCAACCTGGCAAGATATAGATGTCCTGGAATCTGTCAGCAAGTCACTGGGCCCACTGCTGGATTTCACAGATGCACTTTCAAGGGAAGACTACGTTAGTGTCTCCTGTGTGAAGCCAGTTCTTCACCTCTTCAACACTTCAATCCTGCTAATGCAGAGGAAGAAGCTGAAGAACGAGATGTTAGACTACATTAACGTGAAATGTGAAGATGAATCTACTCAGGAGCTGCTAGACATGGCCTCTTGTTTCGACCCCCGGTTCAAGATGGACTTCATCAATGCAGATAACAAGGCCCAAGTCAAGGCCAGAGTGGCATTAGAGATGATGGGATGCCAGGAGACACCAAACTATAGCACTGAAGTGGAGCCAAAAGATGCTGACACATCACAGGCAAAGAAAGCCAAGAAGTCCTTGGGAAGTTTCTTTAAACAAAGCGCAGCTGCAGTAAAGGGTGATTCCTCTCTGACCCTTAAGGATGCTGTGGAAGCAGAGTTAAACAACAACCTGCATAGACAAAGAGGAAAAGATCCACTTGCATGGTGGAAAACTCACAGAGTTAGCTTTCCACGACTCGCCAAGCTTGCCCGCAAGTATCTATGCATTCCTGCTACAAGCTCCCCCTTTTCAGAGGATTTTCAGTGCAAGTGGCAACATCGTCACTTGCCAACGCTCTTGTCTCAAGCCTGCAATGGTGGACAGACTGGTATTCTTGGCCAAAAACCTCTCAGCTTGCATGAGTAATGCATACAGATGCTTAAGAGAAATTGAAATGACCATGTTTCACAAAATTATGCAACAGTTAACACTTGTTTAGCTGCTGTGAAAGCAGATTTTCTTTGTTTGAACAATGTGCCCAACACTTTTTCCTTTGTTGCTAAGAAAAGTTGATTTAAAATTGATTGTGAAAAAAATGGTTCTATATTGATATTTGCTATTTATTAGTTGATACAGTTATTTATTGCAGTAAATTATATATTTATCTTAAGTTTTATTTTTGTAAACCACTCAGGAGACTGGTCGTGCTGCTGCTCTTTTAGTTTTATAATTTTAAATCTTAAAAGATGTCTACGTGAAAACCAAACCAGATTTTATACAAAAAGTTTAATTTCACCTTAATTTGTTCAACCATTATGACCAACGCTTTGTTTTTTTGTTTTTTTGAAAACACCTCAGGGGGCTGGTGTATAGCTGCTCTATTTTTATTTATTTTTTTAGAATTTTGTTTAAAATGTGTTTATTGCATTAAAGAGAAAGGATGGTGCAATCAAAAAAGTCATTTTTCAGCCTATTTATTTTTTATTTCCTATACATTTCCCATACAAAATCACCCCAATAATTCTAGGATACTTAATTCATTCCAGATATTACTATTTAAGTCATCTGGTGAAAATTCCTGTATTTTTTCATATCGCAATATATATAAAAAAAAAAATTGCAATGCAATGTCAGTTTTTTCCAATATCGTGCAGCCCTAAATAAACAGAACTTAAAAATGAGCTTAGCTTCACAAAAGTGAAGTATTTTGTTAAAACATGTTATGCCCAGAAACTAAGCAGCCGGTTAGTGTATAGAAAATAAATTGTTCCACAGTCCGTTTCATTTCAAAAGCCCTGTTAGTAACATAAAAACTTAATTGAATGAAAGGAAATAAATATCGTACGAGGTTTGACTGGTGTGAGAGATGGGAAATCAAAAAAGCTAAATAATGGAGGGGGAAGAGCAAATAGGTATACCGGGTAAATTAACTTGTTTTCTATTTGACTCTTGTTTTTTTTATGTATTTAAATGCATTTTTCTATATTTCCCTATGTTGCTTTTATGTTTAATGTAAAGCACTTTTAATTGCCTTGTTGCTGTAATGTGCTCTACAAATAAACTTCCCTTGCCTTACTCCAGAACACACAGACCGATTTCTGTTTTTCAAAAAATATTTAGCCAGTGATGTTGGCCAGTAAATTACACCATTCCATTAACTGTTTTAAATAAAGCAAGTCTAATCAAGACCAATTAAATGCTGGTTATGTTTAATATTGCAATTGTGGACTAAAGACACTTGGTTTGGTACCCAGTGAACTGGAGTAAGAGCCTAAAATGTTGGTTTTTGACACATCTTCCTAGTGACTTGTAAAAAACTATGAAACTGTAAACAAGAAAATTAAAGAGAGATTTTAGTACAAGAACTGACAGTATAAAAAAATCTACCTTACCTAGAATGTTATAACTTTACCAGTTAAAATCCCTGAATGAATGGGACAAACAAATTTCATGATTTAGTTGGAACAGAATGAAACTAAGGATTAAATACAGTATGGTATGCTGACCACCAATAAGGTGGGAGGTGATATGTCTCTCCCTAATCTTAGGGATTATTACCATTCTGCCCAATTTAAAACTATAGTTCTGTGGTGTGACAGTGGATACGAGGCAGAATGGAAGGAGATTGAGAGAGAATGCAAGGGTGTCCCACTAAAGGCAATGATTAGAGACCAATAACTTATCAGGACCAGTTAAGTCCCCTCACCTCATTCCCTTTGCACTCCTGGTTTGATGTGGTAAAGCAATAAAATAAAAAAAATAAAACTCTGCACAAGATCCAGGATTTAAACCAGACTGTATAGATTCTAGATTTAAGTACTGTACTGTACCGTGATGGAGAAGAACATGTTTTACAAAGCTTTTAGACACCAAGAGAAAAATACAATTAGGAAAAATATGACTTTTCTTTTTAGATACTCACAGTTGCACCAATATTTTTTACAACTGTGAAAATGTAATTTGTCTTCAAGTGGTTCTCAAACTTTTTCACGTCAAGGACCCCTAAACTGACCCCTGTTTGATAATCTTTTGTCCCAGGGTCCCCCATCTAATCAGAAACAGTTTGACTGCCAAGTAGGTTTACAAGGAATTTGTTTGGTGACTTATATAAATATAAAGTAAAAAATTGACAAGATAAAAAATACAAAGGAATCATAAAGGATATGTAAGAATATGCTTGTGCTGTGATATGCAAAATATTGACAGTGTGTACTGTAGAGGATTGGGTGTACGAGAGAATGTCTAAAACTGTGTCCGGGGAGAGAGGGATCACCTCAGAGTCCTGGAGGCCTACAGGTCCTTGAGGGGTGGAAGATTGATTGGTATGTTTAAGTGGTTTATATTGGTAGATGTTTTATTATGACAGAAAGTGTATAAAACCCATGACTGAAATAGTAATTGTGTTAATTATGGATGGAATTACAGTGAACAGTTTTTACTGGGGACCCCCGGAACCACCTTAAGGACCCCAGGGGGTCCCCGGACCCCACTTTGAGAACCACTTCTCTACCAAACATGGAAACTTAAATAAAAAGTATGTAGTCCTGTACAAAGCCCCCATGTCCATAATCCTGAATATGATGTTTGATATATGAATGTTGTTGATGTTACAACAATATTAGTGATAAGAAAAATATGAAATTTGTTTTGAAACGATCCAAAGACTTTCATCCCTTTTGGATTCAGTGTTAGAAGCAGGGCTAGCGTCCCTCACTCACTTTGTCACGCCTGAAATGGAGCTGTAAGGAAAATCCACATAACGAATATGTCTGTATGGAAAATGGCCGTCACTTTAACAGATAGATGAGAAGCCAGATTGATGTTGTGAACAGGATCATCTGAAGAAGTCGCACCGCGACTGTCAAATATCAGCAGCAAACATTTCCAATCAGGTGCAGTGAGGTGTAAAAACGCTGCTATGATCACTGAATATTGTAAAAGATGGAGGCGTGACGGGGAGTAAACAATGAATTCATTGCTATTCAGCCGAGTGCTTTAAGGCACCAGAGGGATTATGTTTCAAACCACACAGGTAATGCACTAAACATGTAATTATCATTCACACTTCTGCTCATGACAGTGTTTTTCTTCTAAAAAGGGGGATTATCTATAGTGTTGGATAGATGGATGTCTTTTAACTGTACCATCTATCTCCATTCCAACTAGGTAGGCAGTTTTCTTTGTTTGCTTATTAATAAGACAAATTTTTAATTTACTTTCTTATCATTAATGTTGTTGCATTTATTATTTAGAGTTAATTGTTATCTGGCTGCCCTGTTGATGCTTGAGGAATATTAATTTATTTTAACACCTTGGGTATACTTACTTACTAAACTTTAATTGTCCGTGTAGGGCAATTGGTTCTGCAGCAAAACATAGATTCATACATAAAATACTGAAATGTTGTACGACAGCTGAATAAAAGAATAAAGTGCTAAAGTGCTTGCAAGTACTCTATTTCAGGACATACATAACCCAATCAACATGATAGTCTTAAATATGACATGGATATTTAAATATACCTACAACACTGTGAAGCATTTTTACAACCATCACCGTCCATCCATGATATGACAACACCATCGCTATTAAAGTGTTATATTATGCTTTTCCACATTTTATGAGTTATCTACAATGTTATAATGTTGGATGTTCATGTTGTTCAAATAATGAGGTTAAAGTATTTAAAAGAAGTCCCTGTGAGCCAAAACCTCAGATTTCCTCCTGTTTTCAACTGCTTCTCTGTTCTACGTAACACGGAGACAGACGGAGCCGCTGTTCCATATATGGTCATTTTCTCCCACAGCAACGCCACAGCAACGCTCAGTCTGCCTGTTCTGCCCAGGGACAACAACAGCCTGGTAACATGCTTCAGGTCTTGGCCAATCAGAAGACAGTGGGCTTTGAGGGGGGGGGGGGGGGGCTTAAAGAGACAGGAGCATCTACAGCTTGTTTCAGACAGAGGCTGAAATGAAGGCCAACATGAAGAGCCAGTATAAGAAAATAAAATAAAAAGCTGCCATACAGGAGTCACAGATCTACAATATAGGACTGGAAAATAGGTCTCCTTTAATACAGACTCATTGTAAGAAAAAAGGCTCATGAGGGTCTTATCAACCTGGAACTTTGACAGTTTATGAAGGCAGAACAGTCGTTGTTGGCCCTTGCATCTCTGTGTTGGAACTAAAATTCAACTTATTGTCAATCAAACTGCCGAGGTACAATGCCTCAGGGAAGCACAAAACATCACTCATCACACCTGGACACGAGTACGTCTGTTGTTTTTTATTTGGTTTTATGCGTTATTACCCTGTCTTGCACAGAATAAGGACTGCACTTCATTTTGTTGTACTTTTACAATAACAATAAACCAGTTGCAGCCCAGAGAAATGAGGAGGAGCAGAGGTCTGTTCGAGTCAACTGCATTTTTGATAGGGTCTAATTAATCTCAGATCAGGTCTGTCTGTGCCCTTTAGACCGGGTTTCTTTGGGGTCGGTAGGTTTTCCACAGGTCATTTTCTGATTAAATACAACATCTGAAGACCTCTAGTCTGTGGACGTGCACCTTGCAGTAAAATCCGGTTTAAACTGACACAAACAGAAATGCAATTTAATTCCAAAATGAGCACCAAAATTGCACTGTGCCTAATCAGCATAACCACAGCCTAAACCAGCCAGGAAATTACCAAGCAGGGACATACACAAAAAAAACTACTTCCTGAGGGAAATTGCTGAGGACTGTTTGTGCTACTTAGCGCCACCCTGGCCCAAATTAGTGTCTACTAGCATCTTTTCCTTGACTTTGTATGCAATTGTGCCACCTCCGAAATTCATATTGTGTTCTGTCTGAACACATAGTAAGGCCTGGTCAACAGAAAGTGTTGCAGTGATTGTTTGCTTCTAGAAGTTTAGTGATAAAGAGACTAATCACAGGGCTAGTTTTTGTCTGCTGAGCTAATGGCTAACACGCTAGCCGGACAGGAGCATACTAGTGCTAGTCAGACACTAGATCTCCAAGGTTCTTTCTATTTTGTTCAGAGGCTTGTACATTACTTCATTCAGTGAGAAATAATATGATTTGCAACTGGTCAATGATTCAAACTGATGCAACTGTTTATTTAGCTGCAAAATTCTGCTGCTTTAAATGCTGGTGTGACCAGGCTTTTACCCTGATGCTGCTGATTGATGACAATGTGGTACGGATGACCAAAACACATACCCGCACACACCTGTATCCCAGATTTCTGAGCTCACCTGAAGGGGTTGGCGGGCAGGCTGATGTTCTGGAAGGGGTCGTTAGTAAGGATGTTGAAGGAGAGGAAGGGCAGCGAGATGAAGCAAGCGACCAGCCACGTCAGCCCTACGGCCAGGTAGGAGTGTCCGGCGGCGGGAGACCAGCCGGTAGGATGCAGGATCAGCTGGTGACGCTCCAGAGCAATCAGCACCAAGGAGAAGACAGAGACTGTCACTGACATGCACTGAACAAAGGGAGTCACCTGTGATAGGTAAAAAAAACACATGATGATTAGATGTTTTTAATACTCGAAGCATTCAGTATGTGTGTGTGTGGTCCACTGACCTTACACAGGGCCTCTCCCAGCACCCAGCGGTCCATCAGTGTGTATATGACGGTAACAGGCAGACACACCACGCACATGAGGATGTCAGAGCACGACAGGTTGGCGATCAGGATGTTTGTGACGTTACGCAACTCCTGTTGCCGGCCGATGATGAACACCAGGCCTGCATTGCCCAGCAAACCGATTGCTATGACAGCGCTGTATGCTATGATCAAGAAAGTCGCCCCACCTACCGAGGGCGGGCACTGAGAGGTGTCTACCCAATCGGGGGCCTCCCAGACACTGAGAAGGCTGGTGTCGTTGGACATGGCAGGGAGAGGAGAGGAAAGAGAAGGGGTGGTATAAAGGGGGGACAGTGTGTCAGTGGTCAGGGTTCGACAGGACTAAAGCCCTGGGGCTGCTACTGAACTTCTCTTCCTTTAAAAAGTGGGCTGCCAGATCAAAGCAGAGGAGGCAGGAGGCAGGGGAAGAGGAGTGCAGGTGCTGTACAGTATTCAATATTGTGTTGTGAGGCGTTTCCAAAGTAAGCTGCGGATGAGGGATTGTGAATGAGGAGGGGAGTGATTCAAATATAGATGTTGTCCTCCTTTTCCTTCACTGTCGGCATCCCGGTGGATCAGCTCAGCACGAATGTTTCCCTGCGAAGGACAGAAAACAACGGTGAGAATAATGAAAGACAGGCAGGGAGGTGTAGGGCTCTCAACGGAGAACTGAGACGAATAGAGGCGAAGAAGACAACAGAAAGTAGAGTGGGGCTGCAGGGGAATGATTGTAACAGGAAAGTGAAGGAAAACTGAGTATCAACACCTCCTGTTGTTCCTCTCATAGTTTCTTGTCTCTTTCTTCTCTGCTGAATCCCACCGCACCATCCTCAAACACTCATTAACATAAACCATTTACATGGCATGACGTGGTTTAATATCACATTATGCGGTTCAGACCACCAGGGACAGACTCATCGTTTGTGGATCCAATGTTCGACTGTATATGTGTCTGCTGAAATCATCACAGAGTGTTGCATTTTCAATAGAAAATCTGAAACCAACCCCGAGAGACGACTTACTTCAAAGCCACTGAACATTCACATTGTCTGGTGAACAGACAACAGACAGAAGAGCTCAAAGGCTGAAGGCATGAAAGACTTAAAAAAATTCCATCACACTTTTCTAAGGCCCATATAAAGGTCCAAAGTGAACCCAGAACTTTCGTGTTATGTTCCAGAAGTAAGAAAACCTCGTTCAAAATCCTGTGATGATGTAAATAACTAAATAAGGATGGAGCTTACAGCTAAAAAGTTGTGTGAGAGTAAAAAGAGTGATGGGAATATGGATGAAGCGAAGTTACAAATGATTGTTGTTATTAATAATAATAATAATGATCATAATAAATAGCACTTTTCAAAACAGAGTACAAAGTGCTTCACCACATTTTACACATTGTCAAGTTCTGTGTGTTTTTAATTGATTACAGCTCAGCCCAAACTTGAAAACTGCTTTTCTCTCTGAAGAACGCAAAGGACAACTCAATCTTTTCACTTCTTGATTCTTTATTTTCTTTGAGATGGTTTGATAGACCAGTGATGGAATAATATGGTATAGTTTCTTGAATGTGACTTGATAGATCAGTGTGGGGCAGTAGGTATAGGTTGATAACCTTTCAAATGCACAAACCAAAACATGAATTAGTTACAGATAAGTCATGAATCAGTCACACATAAATCACAATACCACTTTCTCACAGAAGTAATAAATAAATGCTATTGAATCTTCAAACCAAACTAAACACGATCCTTAAGTCTAACCTAGGATTTTAACAAGAAAATACCAATCCCGTAATTAAACTCATGCACATGTTACTTCTATCAAGTTCAACATTCACATAACAAATCCCCATTACTTATTTTAAATTGCAAATTACAATCCAAGCAGAACCTGAACATTTAAAACTCAATATATTCAAACACAGTCAATCATAAATTGTCCTACCAGTTGCGTCTTTGAGTGATCAGGAGCTGTAATCATAGTGTCCTTTTCCAGGAATAAATGAGAGAACCAACCGAACTCTCTACAAACATTTCAATGCCATGCTCTCTCTGTGGGTGCGCAGGCAAATATAGTCCCAAAGCTACTTCCCCAAAAGTTGGTTCCACCAACTTTTGTTGCATGATTGCCCCTGTAGTTGCATGATTGCCCCCTGCAGTTTGGGAGTGCCCTGAGAGCCCTGGGTGAATCAAGGCTTGGATTGCTCAGTACAACTAAAGCAAAGTAACCATAAATTGACACAACACCTCCCACTTGACCTCCTGGTTCTTCAACCCAAGGAGGTCACACCAGAACTGTGACGTGTCGGATTTAGTTACTCCATTTTTGGTCCTGCTGCTCTTCAACTGGAAGTAGGACAACTATCCGTCTGACATCCCTGTGAAGAACTGTTGCAGGTATCTTGGTTGAGTGTTTTTTCATCTTTTTAGTCGGTTTCACAGTTGCGACTGGGTAGCTGGGGAAGGATCGGAGATATACATCCCTCACAATTCCCTTCCTGTCAGTGTTGACGTCAATGACCCTGGCAAGCCTGAACTGACCTCTCAAGGCATTCTGGTCAGCCAACCAGACGACATCTCCAACTGCCACATTCCTGTGAACGGTGTGCCACTTGGTCCGGACAAACAGATTTGGTCCGGCTAACTGGCTCCATTTCCTCCAGAATCGGTCAACTTCTGTTTGGATGATTCTCAATCTTCTGTAAGGATAGCCTTTGAAATCAAAGGTCTCTGGATCTCCCCTGGGTCCAGTTCTTCCGAGCAGAAGCGAATTTGGGCTGATGTATTCCGCACAGTCCTCCCGGCTCTGAGTCCTGGCATCAATAGGTCGTTCATTTGCAAGGTTGGAAGCCATATAAAGGAAAGTTTGAAACTCACCCCATGTGAAGACTCCATCACCCCCCAGATTGTGCAAAGCTCGTTTTATCATCCGGACAGCAGCCTCAACAGCTCCGTTTCTGTGAGGTGAGTCTGCTGGATGGATCTTCCAGCTCCACTCTGTGCCATGCTTGGAGACTTCATCTTCAAGCTTTGATTTCTCCAGTCGGTCCAGAAACATGTGGAGCTCTTTGAGGGCAGGTCTGGCTCCGACGAAGTTCTTCCCAGGATCCGACCACAATTTCCTCGGATGTCCTCTCAGTGCCGTAAATCTTTGGTAGGCTAGAAGAAAGCCTTCAGCTGACTGGTCACTGACAAGGTCTGTATGCATGGCTCTGGACGCCATACAACAGAAGACGATTCCCCACACTTTGAGTCTCACTTTCTTTCTCACCTCATCCTTCACTTCATAAGGTCCAAATAGGTCCACTGTCGTGTACTCAAATGGATTGGCTGGAGTTATTCGCTCCGATGGAAGGTCACTCATGATCTGTTGGCATCTTCGGGCCTTAAGTCTCCTGCATGTCACACAGTTATCAACAATCTTCTGGACTAGTTTCCGGCCTCTTACTACCCATGCTTTCCTTCTCATCCGGAGGAGTGTGCCTGCAATTTCTTCATGATTTGCCTTATGGGCTTCTTGAGCTAGAAGAGTGGATACCCATGATGTACAAGGCAGGACTGGTACTGCAGTTTTTTCTTCATTAAAGATTTGGAATCTTCCTCCACAGAGCAAAAGTCCAGTGCTTTCCTCCCTGACCACAGCAAGCCTGCTGAGTGTGGTGTCAGGTAAGGCTACCTCCATTTGAGCCGCAAGGAAGAGATCCCTGAGCGCATCCTCACATTCGATGATAGTGAGTGTAGTTCCCTTGACTCTGGACTTAATCTCAAGAGCTGAAGGAATTTCCTTCCTCTTTGGTTTGCTTGTAGTTGAGGTCTTGACCAGCATTTCCTTCCATCTTGTGGCAGCTCTCCACACCCAGCCAATGATTCTTATCAGCTTGGTTAAACTACTGAACCTACTTATGTCCAGGATTTTCCTCACTGAAGAACCAGAAGGTGGTCTCCTGACTTGGATTTGGTCCCCTCCTTTCCCACTAGGGATGCTTTGCAGATCGTCGTCTTTTCATTAGAGATTGGGAACCTTGGCATTGTAGTGGTAGGTAGAGCATGTTGTTTTTTTTCCCTCTGTGCTCGGGTCAGTGCTGCTGTAAAACATTTCCTTTGGAGCTTGTTTATACCTTCTTTAGCTTCTGCAGCAACATCTCTGGCTGACTTTGTCGGCCACTCCCCAACAGGTCGTTTCAAAAACTCTGGGCCATTTTGCCACACAGAGTCCTCTTTCAGGTCTTCTGGGGTTGCTCCTCTTGTTGTGAGGTCAGCAACGTTTTGCTCACCTGGAATCCATCTCCAGTCTTCAACTGATGTGGACTTCTGGATCTCTCCCACTCTGTTTGCAAAAAAGGTCTGGTACCCGTAACTGTCCCTTTGGATTGCACCTAGCACAGTTTGACTGTCCAGCAGATGGAACCAACGTTCAACTTGTATCCGACTGTGCCTTTCAATGTATTTTCTAAGTCTCGCACCAAACACAGCACCACAGACCTCAGCCTTCACTGCTTCTCCCTTTTGGTCAAGCGGTGTGAGCTTGGCTTTGGACTCAACAAGCCGGACCAGGATGCCTTGCTCGGTCTCCCACCTGAAGTATGCAACAGCTCCATAGCTCTGGTCGCTACCATCTGAGAATGTTATTCCCCAGGGTTCTCCAATCCTTCTGACTGGTGTGAGACTTCTATGGAAGGTAATTTGGTTGAGGCGTGTGTATTCCTCAAACAGGTGGATGGCTTCTTCTCTAAGTCTTTCAGACAGAGGTGCGTCCCATGTGTCTCGTGTTAGAGTTTTGCCTCCAGCTTCTTGAAATGCTTTTCTGACCAGAATGGCTCCTTTCTGTTTGGCAGGTGTTGCAAGACCTATTGGGTCATACAAACTAGCTACTTGGCTAAGCAGTTGTCTTCTAGTCAATGGGTTTGGAGTTTTTCCTCTCACCTCTTCTTCGACGAGATTTTGGCTCATCCTCATCTTCTTTTTTCTCTTTGAGAAGTTTATCAATGTCATGAGGTACAGTTTGTCTGGTTCGACCAGGTAACCAACTCCAAGGGCTTTGTTGTCTCCTTCTCTCATTTGGTTGGGGAGAATGAAGACTTCATCTGACGATGCTGGACGTTCTGATGTAGACGTCTGCCTCCCACTTTGACCTGATCGGACCCACGGCTTAAGGAAGAATCCACCTGCCTTCAGTATTTCTTCGACTTTTTTGGTGGTTCTGTCTATCTTTCCCAGGTCATTATGTGATGTCAGAATGTCATCTACATAGGAATCCTCCTCAAGGACTCTCCGTTCCTCCTCCAGATGAGTGAACATGGGCAGCCTTGCTGTCTCTCTCATGGCCAGTTGTGCGATGCACCCTGCTGGTCGATCGCCAATGTTGACCCTGGTGATGCCATATTCCTCAATTTCTTCATCTCCACTGTTTCTCCAGAGAAATCTATGGAGGTGCATCTCCAGATCTTCAAGCCACACAGAATTGTACATCTTTTTGATGTCGTCGAGGGCAGCATGGACTCCTTTCCTGAACCTTAGTAGCACTGCTCGAATGGGATTAAGTACATCAGGCCCTTTCAGGAGAAGGTCATTCATGCTGATCCCTCTAAACTTCTGGCTGCTGTTCCATACCAGTCGGACAGGTGTTGTTACAGAGTGTGGGTTTGGTGCCACCAAGTGACTGACGTACCATACTGGTCCTTTCCAGTCAGCAATGGTCTCTCTACTGAGTTTCTTTGCTGCTCTCCTTTCCACCATCTCATGGACTTGAGTTGTGTATGCTGTACGCCACTCTGGTTCTTTCTTGAGCTGTTTTTCCGTCCTCAGAAACGTGGTTTCCACTGCGCTTCTGTTGTTGGGCAGGGAACTTGGATTTTCAATCCAGGGGTATTTTGTGTCCCAGTGAGGCTCCTGACTATGCGCATCTGACTTCACATAGTTGAGGCCTCGCCTGATCACCTCAAGCTCTCTCTCTTCACTCAGAGTCATGTCTTTGCCTCCTGGCTGACAGTTACCACACCGGCATCCTCCACACATGGGTTTGCAGGCTGCACCAATGCTGTCCCACTTCCACCAATCCAAGAACTCCCTCCCAACAACAGTGGTTTTGGTTTCAGCTCTAGATTCTTGCATCTCAGCAATTTCTTGATACTTCACTGCTGTGATTCTCATTGATCGTGCAAAGTGAGTTTCAGAATTGTGTAGGGCCATACCCAATACTTCACAGAGATCTGGATGTGCTCCGCCAACAGTCTTTCCTAAAGGGCTTTCCCACAGGACAAGATCTCCTACCACCTTTATTCTCTGTGGAGCAAGTCTTCCTTCACGGTGGCTTATGAGAAGTTCAACATTTTCTGGTCTGTGAAGATCTTCCAGGTTGGTTTCGGGGAAGAACTTCTTGAGTTGCTGTGCTTTGATCACTCTGTGAACTTTGGCAATTTCATCCAACCCATAACAGATCAGCTCATGAGCTCTTTCCGTGTCTCTAGGTGTCTTGACCCTTACTTTAAGTAAATATCTTTTGGTTCTTACTTTCATGGCCATACCTCCAACTCCATGGACGACAAGCGTGATCTTTTCACTTTGAAGTTTCAATCTCTTGGCAGCTATATGAGTGATGTAATTGGTATCTGATGCTAAGTCAATGAGAGTTCCAATTTTCTGTCCTGTGTTGGTGGTTACTTCAAGAAGCATAAGAATTACTGGTAACTCACATGTGCTTGAGTCCATCACTCCAGGAAGACTTCTCCCTGTGCAGTGTGATTTTGCAGCCATATTGGTGAAGGCTCTCCTGACTTTTTCCGCCATGTCCGGGGTAAGCTCAGACATCAATATCTCTTGTTCCTCTGTGAATGTTTGCCTTCTGGTGCTGGGTCTCCCCACTTTCACAGATTCTTTCCTCTTGAATCCTCCTTTCAGACAAAGAAAGAAATGGTGATCTGAAGAGCTCCCTCTTCTGCAGTCTCTGTTCCTGCATAGGTAAATGTCCGTACATTCATCATCCTCTTTATGACATCTCAGACATCTTCTGCATGCTCCAAGCCTTTCGATAGCTTTCAGCTTCTCACCAGGTTCCAGTTCTTTAAACTGCTTACAAAAGAAGATTTTCTCACGATGCTTCTCCTCTC